GGGCGAGCAGGCCGCCTGGGTGGGGACCCAGTAATTATGAAAAGGAACCCTCTGCTCCAGAGCCGGTTATTAACCTGCATCGGGTGCTGACGTGACAGCGCCGAGCGTGGTTTTTCACCGGCAGCTGGTGTATTTTCACCTGGAATGAACGTTTCAGTATTTCTGCGCAGGAGATGTCTGAGTGGGCTTGGCGAGCGGAGGCTGCGGAGCCCGGCCGCGCTCTCAAGGGCGTCCGGTCCATTCGTTATTGTGAGGCGCCATCTAGCGGTCATGCCGGGAGCGTCCCGATCCTCTCCCCGGGGCCGGGCCCACAGTGCCCTCTCCTGGTCACGGGCGCCTCCGGGCACGGGATGCGGCTCCGGGAGGTTCCCTGTCGCAGGGACTGAGGCCTTCCGGAGGTTTTAATAACCCGTGCGCGAAAGATCAGGCAGTGTCTCCGGCAATCTTTTTGCATATAAAATAGAATGTGTCTTGATCCTGAGCAAGCAACATATGGCAATTACGAAATGCCAGGACTCATCTGAAGCTTGCAGGGAAGGGACTGTCCGCTGTGCTTTCAGGTTGCCCAGAGCAAATAGATGGCTTTATCAGCTGGAGCAGCCTTCTTGGGCCACTATGACAACAGTGATTCGGGGTCGGCCACATTCAGCCTTGGGGTCAGCCGTGGGTATCCCCCAAATCCGGACACATGGAAAAACTGTAAGGTTCCCCCCTTCCCTAGTACTGAGGTTGAACCCAGGACCTTCACGCGGTGCTATATGCCCAGCCCCAGCCCCCTTTTTATTTTTAAATGTGAAACAGAGGCTCACTAAATTGTCCAGGCTGGGTTGGAACTTGGGATCCTCCTGCCTCAGCCTCCCAAAGTGCTGCGATTACAGGCATGCACCAGCACGCCTAGCTGAAAAGTATTTTTTTAAAAAAATCTATTGATGTAGCCGTTTATTTTATTTTTTCTGGGTTTTAAGAGGAACTTACTCGTTCTCACTAGCAATTCAGTAAATGCAGATATAATGTCTAAGAGATATCTTCTGTAAACTAGTGAAAATAAATACAAATGATCACACCCAGATCTGGCAGGTCTGTGTGAAAGCAGGATAGGAACCTGTACCCACACGGGAGGCAGGACATGTGATAGTCCTTTGAGAGAGTGATGTGAAGAGAAAAAAATCTCAGGAGCCATTAAATTGTATATTCTTTCTAGCCAACCAATTTTACTTCAGGGAAAACATTCCAATAAAATAATTCAAATGGAAAAAAAAGATATTCATAGCTTTACTGTGTGTGATAAGAGGAAAAGGGGAAATTATTCCAAAGCTGAACAACGGGGAAATAATTGTGCTATATACGTGGGTATTACAATAGGATACTAATAGCCAAATTTAATAAATAGCAAATGGGAATGGGTATATGAAATTCAGTGGAATGGCCCCACAGGTATTTTCTACCTTACATAAAATTCACTTATTTTCAAAAAAAAAAAAAATCACTTATTTTCTTGGGGAAAGAAAAAAAGGAAAAGAGGAAATGCAAATGGTGCTGAGGATCTCCTGGGCTTCCTGACCCGGGAAAGGAGAGCTCAGGGGAACAGAATAAGCGGTTATGAGTCCCAAAATGTGGGCATCTTGTGCCTGAGGGGCGTCTAGCGTTTTAAAAGGCGTTATTTCTGTGTCTCTGAATCACACCAGCAGCAGCCAGGTCAGACATACGGAGACCAGCGGTGGAGCCCCAAGCCCCAGTGTGAAGGCCGCTGTGACTGAGGCAGTGTCCTCCCGAGCCCCCTGTGACCCCAGCCTCCTAGAGGTGCGGCCCCATGCCTTAAATTCCACAGCAGAGCCCAGACCACGCCTGGGTGAAAGCTTTATCTGCTGTGCTATGAACACTGCCCTAGGGCAGAAGGCCGCTGCCGATGTCCGGGATGTAGGGCCCTCTCACGGTTTACGTCTGTCCTTTCACGGCCTCCCATACTCATAGGTGAGGCTTTGGGAACGTGAGTGAATTTGGGACCCTGTGGCGACTCCCTGTTAGGAGGGGCCTGGTTGTAGAAGGCGGGTCGCTGGGGCAGGGCTGGAAGGGTCGCTCTCCCTCCCAGCTCCCCTCACCCTTTGCTTCCTGCCTGCCCTGCAGCTCCCCTTCCCACGCCTCACTGTCAGGCTGCCCAGAGTTGGAGCCAGCTGAGCACAGACTGAAACCGCTACGGATTGTGAGCCAAACTAGACCTCTCTTCCTTTAAGCTGTGGGTGTTGGATATTTTGTTCCAGGGACAAGGAAAGTGCCTAACGCAGGTCCTCTATGCATGCCTGATCCAACAGGAGTGGGATGCAGGGCAGAAATGTAAGCCACGGGTCTACTGTTAAATTTTCTAGCAACCATATTTTAAAAGTGAATAAAGAGATGAAATTAACTTCATAATATACTTCAACGCAATAAAGCCAATATACTATCATTTCGACAGGTAATTAATATCCAAGATTAGGAGATACTGTATTTTCAGTATTTTGCCCA